GTCCCCCGCCGCGTCGCCGCCCTCGGGCGAGCCGGCGCCGCCGCGGCCGCGGGCGGGGGAGCCGCCGGCGCCGGCCGACGCGGGCCAGGCCCTTGCGGCTGTGATGTGGAGCTGCAGCGCGTCGATCAGGAGGTCAGGCCCCAGGGGGCAGTGGCCCACGACGTGCGCGAGCGCCTCCCTCAGCGCCGCCATCCCGGGGTCGGACGGCGGCGCGGCAGCGGGGCTGGCGGCGCCAGGCGGCAGGGAAAGGGGAAACAGGTCCTGCGGGAGGGCGGGCGGCGGAGGATGTGGCGAGCGGCTTAGTACTACAGCTTGGCTGCCAATTAGTTGAGTTTGTGTTATCGCCCATGTTTTCTGATGCTGTAGGATGCAAGGTGAGCTTTGTGTGCAGGGCATGGCGGAGGGCATGTTGTGTGCCTGATCTGGCCTGCAGGCAGCCCCCGCAGCCAGGCCGCCCCACCTGCCCCGCCTCCGCCGTGTGCTCCAGCGCCGCAGCCAGCAAGTGCTGCAGCCACCGCGCCGCCGCGCCCCGCGCCGCGGCTTCGGGGCACCAGCACAGCTCCCGCAGCGCACGCCACGCGGCAGCGGCGGCGGCGGACTGGTAGTCCGCGAGCTCCCCGGCCACCTGCCACCGCGTCAGCTCCACGGCGCCCGCGACTGCGGCGCCAGGCGACGCGGTAGCCACGCTGGCGCTGGGGCCGGCGCCTTTGTCGCCGCTACCGCCGCCCGCGCCGGCTTCAATCCCTCCAGGGGCGCTGCTGCGGGTGGCGCTGGCCCCACGGGTCGCGATCTCCTCCAGACCCAGCACAAGAGAACATACCAGCTGCAGCTCGGAGGGGTCGCCATCCGGCTGCGCGGTGCCCAGGGCGGTCATGATCGGGTCGGCCAAGCCGGGCCGCGCGCCCCACAGCGCGCACTGCAGCGCGCGCAGCCGCGCTGGGGAGCCGCCAAGGGCTACGGCGGCGCGCGCGGCGGCGGCGGAGCCCGTGCCTGCGGGCACGGGCGCGTGCAGGGCAGGCATGCAGGTCCGTCAGGTGGCGTCATCGGGTCGCGCGGCGCCGACGGGATTAGAACCTTTACGTAGGTCTGCAACGCCGCCAGGCCAGGCAGCACTGCATGCATGCAGAAGGGAACCCGGCTGTTCGCGCGCCTCGCCAGCAGGGGTGGACACAGATCACACTGCTCCCACCTGCCACCCACCTGGCGGCATGCACTCCGCTAGCAACGGCAGCAGCAGGCAGCGCTGCGCCTCGGGCGACGCGGCACGGCAAAAGTGGTGCAGCACCTCCTCTGACCCCCCAAAGCCCGCCAGGCGCTCAGGGTCGATGCTGCCCAAGCCACCACCCACGGCCGCGCCGTCCCCCGTCGCCGCAGCATCGCGCCGCCCATGCAAGCGGCCGCCGCCGGCCGCGTCGCCAGCCGTCGGCCGCGGCTCGCCCGCGCCGCCGCCGCCGCCCTCTTCAGGGCACAGCAGCAGCGGCGCGAGCTGCGCAAAGTGTGCGTGCAGCTCGGGCGCCCAGTCGAACGCCAGGCAGGCGCGCAGCAGGCCGCGGAGCGCGGGCGGGGGCAGGCCGGCGGCGGCGGCTCGGACCCAGTAGCCGGCTGACGTGGTGAGGTGCAGGGTGCAGCCGACGGCCGACTGCCAGACGGCCGCGCTGCGCTCGTCAAGCTGTGTGGCGGGCCAGGGGTTGGTTCGGGTCGGGTGGGGAGGAGTGATGGTGGTGGTGGTGTGGCGGCGGTGATTGTGACGGTGCATTCCTACACAAAGACACGATGTCAGTAAAACGGGCCAGATGCGCGGGTGCGCTCGCAGGCAGGTTGCAGCCCAGAGCAAATCTGGTAGAGTGGGAGCGGCTGTGATGATGGAGGGCCACGCAGACACGACCGCCTACGTGCCAGCCCGCCCGCCGGCGCTGCTCCCGCCCCGCCCACCTGCGACAGCATCGTCAGCAGCTCAAACAGCAGCTGCCGCAGCCACCCCTCAAAGCCAAGCTCCAGCGCACCCGGCGCCGGCCCCCGCCGCCGCGGCTCGCCCACGCCGTCGCCCGAAGCGGCCAGCGCCGCTGCACGCCCGCCGCCCGGGGGACTGTCCGCCGCCGGGGGGGCCACGTCCGCGCCGCTGCGGCCCAGCCGGCTGCGTGGGCTCGCAGGGCCGAGCTGCGGGGACGGCAGGGGCGGCGATGCGCCGCCGTTTGCCGCGGCGGGCCCCAGCG